CTCTCTCCTCTCTCCTCTCTCCTCTCTCCTCTCTCCTCTGTCCTTCGCTCCTCTCTCTCCCTCCCCCTCTCGGCACTCTCGCCCCTCTCTCCCCTCTGTTCCCTCTCTCCTCTCTCTCCTTTCTCTTCCCTCTCTCCTGCTCTCTCCCCTCTCACCCCGCTCCCCTCCTCCTCCTCCACTTCTTCCCGCCCCCCGCCTCTCGCGTGTTTGGCACCTTGGCTGCATTATTACCCCCTCTTGAACCCTTCGCGGAGGGCAGCCATGACGTTTACGGAGCTGCCTTGAGATGCGTGTGGGGGAGAATTTGGGCGGAACCAGGTTTTCCTGGTAACACTTAAAGAAATAACAACTTAATATATTATAGTGGAAATGGGTTATACAAATCTGAAAACTTTATAAAACCCAATTGAAGTACATCGAGACGATATACCAAATAAAGATTATCGAGACTGATTATTCGAATAAAATTAAGGAGTTAATAGAGCTATTGAAAAATGCGAAGGTATATTTGATAACGAAGATGTTTGTAGTGTTAGGAGTGATATGTCTTTTTTGGAAGGTAAAATTGAAGAAGATAAACAGTTATATAATTAAAAAGTATTCAGAGTTGGTTGAGCATATTGAAAAACTGTGTCAGAATGGAGGAAGTCCGGACAATAAATATTTAAATGCAAAACCAAAACATGCTGTTAAATGGATTAATATAAGTATTCAACAAATGGAAGAAGATTACGGCGAATACTTAAAACAATAAATGTTCTACCAATGATAATTTGATAATAAAACTAAAATTATTAGTGAATGTCCCACCCCACAGCCCCATGATATGCCCCACAAAATTAATAAACCTAACCCTGCCCCTTTTCGGATGTTACATCGCCTGATAAATAGGTTGAAATCGAGTATTGTATGGATCATGAGCTACTAGTTGCGATTGTTGGGCTATAGATGTTCACGGTGGTGTAATACCCCAAACTGGCCAAGGCCTATCCTAACTCATTCTCCTACGTCTTCCTATGCAGGGTTAAGTGATCTTGCCGTGGAGTTTTCTAGCAAGCGATGCGCCTATCTCGCATGGCAGGAAGCTACATCGGGAGTGTCGCTTGGATTCGCATTTTCATGTTGGTCGGGAAGGCGGTGAAATGTGTAGTTGCTCGGCCTCTCGCGCTCGTCAATCATGTCGAGCGCTTCAGGTATCCCAGTTTTCAGATACCAAAGGCAGCGTCTCTGTTCTGTCGGCTACGCTCCCAGTTTGATGCATTTCGATTCAGGAAGGGTGGGAAGGGATGACATGGTGCTTGTGGTGCTTGGAGTGAGCTCTCAACACTTGCCAGTCCAAGCAGATGTCCGCTTTCACTGCTCCGTCTGGGACCCCAGACGTTCGGCTGAAGAGGGTTGTCCACTGCGGTGGCGATTCGAGTGTTCTGCTGCGTTCCTGTTGCAGTACCCTTGCACAAGTTCTTGTGGCACAGCCTGTGTGTGGAGGCCGCGATACCGGAATAGTGGTGCCTTCGTGCACGGCACGAAGTTCCTCCACTTTGGGCCGATCATGGAACAAGGTGCAGCTGGCAGATGTTAGCCTGGCGACTAGGCGAAGCGAAGCCGAGTTCTGAAGGACTGAAGGCGGCCAAGAGCGAGATCTTCATGATCGACGAAGTCCGCCCGGACGGCCGGGCTGGGCTCCCGGATGCTCCCCGCTTCGATGCCGGCGCTGCGCTGCGCTTGCGCTTGCACTCTTTTTGGGATTTCGCGCCTCGAGGTGCCCGGCCTGAAGGAAGCGCCCGAGATTTTGATCTTCATCGACGAAGTTAAGGACAGCTTCGTCAAAAGCTTTGTCCATGGCACCTGAGAGCGCCAGCAGGCCCGTAGTGAGAACATGGAGTTCGACTACGATGTCGGGGCCATGTTTGCATGTCAGCCTCTAGTCGCATTTTTTGCACTTCCAAGGCCAAGGAAGGCACCTGGAAAACCCGTGGCATTGACGGCGTGCCGACACCCTGGTGGAGGGCCCCTGTGCCATTCGCATCCCCGCACGGCATGCCCGCCTTGCCCGCGCGCACGCGGGTATGCGTGGGTAGATGAGGGTGCAGGGTAAGTGCTTGCAATGGCCCTGAGGATCCGCCCATGGTTCTTCCAAAAAGTCGTGGATCAGAGAGCCGGACCAGGCCAGGCCATGCAGCTCAACAGCTCAGCAGCGTCAGCAGGCTTCGTGAAAAAAGCCTTCGCGACTGTCAAGTCAGGTCGAGGAAACGTCCTGTTCCAGTCGAAAGAAGATCCTCTGATGCAGGCGGGAGCTTCTTTGAGAGTGATTTCGCCTGACTTAGCATTGGTGTGAGGCCAACAAGGTACCAAAGGTTGTGCGGCCAAAGTTAGAGGCTTGGAATTCTGGCCCGGCTCGCGTCGCTCTCTCACTGGAAAGTACCGACGCAGCAGACCCTGGCCTAGGTATCTTTTGCATGCAACTTACTGGGAGAATGTGGACGGCATTCTCCGAGAAGGCATGAATTTAGAACAAGCAGAATAAATCAGTTGCGTGACTTGAAATCCGAAGTGTGGTCCGGCGTGACAGAGGAGAACTCTGCAGCTTTTGAAAATGCACCGGTTGTGTTTCGGTTACAATTGCAAAGGCATGCATTATCGTGAACTTGCAAGCATTTCGAGTTTCACATTTGAGGATCGATACTTACATGAACAGATTCCTGACGCTCAGTCGATCACGACACCTTCTTTTGCATTTTGCGAGCCAGTCATGTTGGTCTTCGAGTCAAATTGTCTACATGCTTTAAGAGGAGCTTCTCTGGATTTCCTGCTTTTCCATCCAACACTACTCTTTGTGGGTTTCCCGTGTAATGGAGCCTTGTCGCGGAGTGATGTGAAGGCATTGTGCCGGCCAAGAACCCTCTGTCGACCTCCAGACACTTGGCAATGTTATAGGTGACACAACACTGGAAACAAGCGAGGACGAAGATGCAAAATGTGCTTCTGTTTGCCGCGCCGCCCAGGAAGACCCTTCAAGAATTTGCTTCAGGGTGCAGAGCTTGAAACCCAGCTGTTCCCGCTGTGAGTCGGTGTAACCTCTTGAGCTGTGGGCACCCGCAGGTCCCACATCTACACCCTTCGCGAGCCTGGCCTGCTTTGTGGCTTTGCAACACAGACTCAGACACCACGAAACAGCTTTTTTGCACTGCTACTCAACCGACAACTTTCATCAGCCAGCCTCTCATTCCAAAGCAGCTGAGTGTGCGCTCGCACTCAGTCGTGCGAGCCTGTTCCAGAAGCTGCACTGTGAGCACAGAGCTGCTCGCTTTCACGGCTCGTCACGCAGCTAGAAAGGACTGCAGCACTCCCTACGTGATCAACACCAGCAAGCCCTTGCCAGGTGGTGGCCAAAGTGCACCGAAGTTTAGGGAGGACGCGCTTCAGGACTGCTGAATTGAAGCTGCACGGACGGCCGCGGCTTGCTGTCCATCCATCAATTCATCTATCATTCCCCCCGCCTCACACACACACACACACACACACGCACACATACATACCCCTCTCTCTCTCTCTCACCCTCTGCTCGCACCGCCTGCTTTGGCGAGCTTCACGAGACGAGTCTGATGATGCCATGCTGATTGATCGCGAAAGGGCGGTGCGGCAGGGTCAATGCTCGTAATTTGTGTGGATTGTGCGCCGCGTGCAGGAGCAGGAGCCCAAGGGCCAGGCCCCTCGTGTTGCTTCGTGTTGGATAATACGACTTCTTTGGTTCGGGAGTGTTGGCAGACTCTTTGAGTTGGGTCTCCCCAAATTGGCGACAGACAAGTTTTCGGAGGCGGAGGCTTCCACATTCTTGGTCGACGAGGACTGCTGCAGTAGGTGCAGGAAGTTACAAGTCATGACAAAGCAGAGGAAGAAAATCCAGCTGCCATACGGGGCTGCGATTTTTCAAGACAACTATCCATGCTGCACGGAAGTGCCATGTCTCCACATGCAGCTTTCCTGATGGGCTGCAGCGCGAGATCAGGACCGCGCAGGTCTTGACAGGCGGCCGGATGCAATTTTCGTTGCTTGCCTACAGACTCAAAAATTTCGGAGAGAGACGGGTCCGGACGGACAAAGATAGACAGACATGTGATCCCGCCGTTTTCCCAGGTCATCGACACGAAGAAGGCGATGGACTTGGGCATAGACTTAGAGCTGGCCGGGAGCCCAGCAGGGTTCCGCCAGTTTGCGGTTGATTCGTGTGGAGTTTCTAAGTGTTCTAGTCTGATTGATACAATTCGTGTCGACGTCAATCAAGATGCGATCGTTTCGAACACACCCGTGTGCTTGATTCTAGCATTTACGCGAGGTTCAGTCGAGCGACCGAGAGGATAACATTTACGTGAGAGGCGCATGCCGGCAAGGAGTTGGGTCTGCATGAGCATCTAGCTTGACTGCAGCATGAGCAACATGAGCTGAGAAGGCTGCCAGCTGTCATTCTGTTGAAGATTCAAAAGCTATCCACGAAAGCTTCAGCAAGAGTTACTTGGCAGAGGCAGCGTGCCAGCAGAAATCCTCTCGTCCTGCCAGCCCAACATTCCAGCAAACTTGCCGGATACGCTGAAGGCGGGCTGGATGCGGGTGGGGTTTCCAGTTTGATGGGGCTATCTTCGAGCGTAGGCATCCGACTCGCAGGCCAAAATCGTGGATCCAAAGTCCTTTGAAGATGTGCCGATTATCGACTTGTCCGGAGATGAGGCCACCTTCCCGGTGCACACGGCGCTCCAGTCGATTTTGGGACAATACCGTGAAGAGAGACTCTTGCATCGAGTCGCATGTAGTTCACGGCGTAGAGCAGGGGTGGCTAGATTCGGCAAAACCTGCAAAGACTTCTCGAAGTTGTCTGCTCCCGTGATGCATCAATGAAATCAGCGAACCGAATCGATTCTGATCGACATCTTCCAAATGCGAGCGATGACTTTGATCCCGCCGGATTGACGGACCCGTTGTCTGAACTTGCGCAAGGCAGGGCTTGTGGAGCAGATCCGCTACGCCTGTGAGGCCAGTTGGATTGGTCACTTTGTGAAAGCATTGCTGAGGGAAATCGATCATGCCTTGCCAGGTCGTGGGCTTCATGCAGGTCACAGGGTGCGCGAGCTGAGCTGAATCTGTCTTGGGGTGAGCTCGTCTTGCTTTTTGAGCGGGGGCCTAGGCATGGCATCTCGGAGGAGTTGCAGGCGAAGCATATGGTCGGCTGCTCAGTGCCACTCGAAACGACAGGGTCAGGAGCCATGCCTGTCCCCTTTCCCGCACCACAAGCAGAAGATACGTTATATCATTATATCTGGTACGCTGGGACAGGGAGCCCCTCATGTCATGCGCAAAAAGCAGCAGCGATGATAGTCTTTCACTGCTCCAAAATCATCATCAGCCACAACCTTTGGCACAACTGCTGCGGGATATGGGCGGTCACGGAATTCCGGCGTCACGAAACTGCCATTGTTTTTGCTGCCGACTTAATCGATCATGGCCTGTGACCATGTGGACACCCAAATCACCACTTGATACAACTCTGGACACTCGTCCGTCAGCTGAAGCCGGAGATCATTCTGCTTGCAGAATCTGCAAAGTGTTGTTTTTGCCCTGAAGTCGCAGGACTTGCAAAAGAAATTCTTTGAGCTGCCGCAGTCGGTCAAGGTCCATGCGTGGACAAGTGGGCAAAGATAATGCAATCTTTTGTTCCTAGCATCTGCAAGGAGCGCTTGCAGTTATGCGACGAGAGCAGTGGGCCAAGCTGCAGACAGGAAATGGCGTTTGCTTCCTTTCCACGTGCATGAGTGTGACTCTCAAGGCCCGGTCCGGGGCTACTTCGGGCTGGGTGGTGAGGCCTGGGCAAGTTAGCGATGCAGGAAGCCGGCTTTGAGCATGCACCAGTTTCAGGATCTGGACCAAGTCCTCGAAAAGCAGGCTGGGCAACTGGAGACAGAGATGTGAGTGATGACGGCTATCAGTGGCAGCCCGATGCAGCTGCAGTGTGGAACCCAGTTTGCTAGGTCGATGAGGCAAATGGCAAGGACCGGAGAACTCTCATTGAGGTTTGCATACATGTGCGAAGTCTGCAAAGCTGAAGCTGTTTTTGTGGGGGTGGAGAGCCAGATCGAAAGGCCAGACGGCCACCATCCTAATCAGATTGCTGCATGGTGCCTAGGTTGATGGACCGACACCACTGCTGACTCCAGAGTGCACATGCACACTGTGACTTCCGTTGTCAGACCCACTTGGCAGGACACAATCCGAAAAGCCCGCAAGGATCTCAAGGAGGCTGGAAAGGGGGCTGTTGGTGCAAGCCGGAGCCATCGCGAGCCTCTGGGGCTGGGGAACGGCAAGACATGGCAAGACTGAGTCAAGCGATCTCTGCACTACGTCTGAAGGCTTTGGACTGCAACGGCGTCCCCTTTGCCCGGCCAGTTGGTGGATATATTGCTGAAATTTTCGCACAGCGCCTTCCTCAGACTTGCAGCTTCACGTGTGAACCGTTTTGGGTGGGTCTGCCATGGCTGGCCTCTTGCTCTGCTTAAGTTAAGGCCCTCGCAGCTTCCGGCAGAGGAGCTTTTGCTGCCTGCAGTTGTGATGTAATAGGCTGAAGCGTTCCTTCCTTAGGCGCCTACTTCATGCTTTGATTGGTAGTTTCACGCTGAAGCACCTATGCAAGGAGGAACTTGCTGGTTTCCGCGAGGTCCTGGACGAATACGTGCGCCAGCTCGGATAGATAGGTAGAAAGAAAGAGCTGGTGTCAGTGAGTTGGGCAAGGCATCTGAGATGTTCCGCTTGTCCAAGAGGCAGGCAGACTTTTGCAAGAGCGGCTGTGATGCGATCCGAAAGGATACTGCTACTGCGCTACTAGCGCTACCTCCGATGTGTCCGGCCAAAGGCTCTTGGCGCTTATGGCTTTGGCGCTTGACAAGCCCCGGGATTTTTTCGAGCAGTGTCGCGGCCGCATCGGAAGGGAAGTTCATTGTGCTGTGCTCACAATCTATCAAAAGCTTGCATCTGGTAGGCCTCTTTTAGCCTGTCGTCTTAAGTCTTGACCATTAGACATGACAGGTCGCTCACACAAACGAATCGCAACGAACACGCACCTCCTGGCATTACTTCGCGTGTTTAGCACCATGTGGGCATTGACAGTTTGCCTCATAGCAGCATGTTGCCACGGCAACGGCACAAGCGTGAGCTTCAGTATCCTATTCGTCATGGTCCAGCCATTTCGCTCGGCCATGCTGGCGTGTGTTCACAAGCTGCCACAACACGCAAGTGCCCCAAGCGCAGTCCCAACGAGCGCTCGTGCAAGTTGAGACCTACCAGTACTGACTTCGGCTCCTTGGTCGTTTGTTCGGGAAGTGCATCGGTGTGTTTGCAAGGTCTTTGTTACGCTCAACAGCGTAGCTATCGATGAATCCCGAATTGGTGATGCTGCAGCGGTGCGGACAAGTCAAGCTCTATGCAGCTACGGTAGACACGCGGCTACGAAAAGACCTGATGGTGGGAAGTTTCCAGTCCGTAATTGTATCCTGGTCTTCAAGCCACCATCGTCGTGATTCATCATGTACCCTTTGAGAAAAAGTCCGAATCCAGAAGAAGACCTGTGATAGCGCATGATACTGGATTCCTTCATGTGTAATTGTCGCCTGCCTTGTGGGTTGTGCTTTAATTTCACCCCCTACAAGTGAGAGAGACAGATAGAGACCGAGCGAGAGAGAGAGAGAGAGAGAGAGAGAGAGAGAGAGAGAGAGCGAGCTACTCCATAAACACAGGGTGTGGCTGGGCGGGCCGAAGGCCTGGGGGCGCTCGCGCGACCCTTAAGCCCTGCAGAAAGAAAGAAAGAGAGAGCTTCGATTCAGGTTGATTCACTCAATATATATATATATATATATATAGCATTTAGTTTTCTATCTCTCAGCCCTTCATGCGAAATCTGAGGGTACCCCGAATAAGCCGCAACTAACCCCTAGTCTTGCATACCTGAGAACTTCACGAACATATGGTTTGATATTAGGGGCCACTTGATGATAGGAATACCGTCGGTGTTCCGTATTTTTCTGGTGCAAGCTGGTTTTGGCACTAAGTGGTCCGAGTCCTGGCAATCCTGGTGAGTGTTCCCATGGGGGGCGTCCCGCAGGCACTTGACCCAGCCTGCCGCTTCCTCAGTTTTGTTTCCTCCGAGATGTGCTCTGAAAAGCACTGCGATTGATTGTTGCGGTTTCTTGTGGCCTTCAAGAGTGGTGATGAGCTCTGCCGAACGGCACAGCATATTGAGGTAGCAACCCACAGACTGCTACACTACTGGCCGCTGAAGGTCCTTACGTCAGAGGGGGGGTTCAGCTGCCTCATCACACCTCATATGGTTGCTCCGGCAGCTTTGACATGGCTGAGCAGACTGCAACATACTGCAACCCATGGGCGTTTCCGTCCACTCGCGAAGGACTACGAAACCGAGATCGGTGTCGGAGAGCACACGGACTATGGCCTGCTCACCGTCCTGAAACAGGACCTCAGACGGTGAGGCTTCCTTGGACCGAGGTTGAACGCTCACCAGCGCGCTGCGAAATTGAAGCTTATTGAATCATTGACAGGATCTGGTGGGTGGGCTACAGGCCAGGGCTGCGTTTTTCCGTCTGGAGTTTGGCCGACATGCTTCAAGCTGTAGTAAACTTGAGGGGCCGAGGACTTTCTTTGTGAGACAGTCGTACAGAGGTCCTCAATGCGAAGGACGGTCGGTGGATACACTGCTGTCCGGTCAAAGCCCTGGAGAAAGAACTTAAAGCATCGGTTGTTGTTCCACTCTCTAATGGCATGGCATCGGCTCGGTGACTGTTGCGGTGACTTGTGGTGGCTTCTCGTCTGTGTTTCTGCACGTCGCACACTTCTATGTGATCCATCTGACAGCCCGCCCTAGGTGAAGAACGCCTTTGTCATCAACTTGGGTGACATGCTGAGCCGATGGACAGCCCATCGATTTAAGCGCGACCCACAGAAGTTGATTGCTGAGTCATCAGGTTTGATTTCATGGTTCTCCAAGTTCTTTGGGACAAACATCCGCCGTTTCAGCAAAGCGAGACAGTTATACAATGTCTGTCAAGTTCAGATGACAATGAAGAACGCTCCACCCGGAGCCTCCGCGAGACCACAGATGTCGTGCAGATGCCTATACCACTTCAGACCAGAGCCGGCAGAACGCTTTCGTGGAGTGCCAGTTAGAGAAGAGATCTGCCTCATTGGGGGAAGTTCAACACTCGCAGATTGGCTGCCCCAACGGATGCCGCTCCGAACAATCTTTATACGCATGCACTGCACAGAGAGAGCAAATATACACTACGCATGAATCCTCAAGGGTGCAGCCATGGCACTGCCTCCTCCACCGCCACCGCCGCCGCCTACGGCGGATGCAGAGGAAGTTGTCGCAAGTGACAGGGTTCATCTTGTGGACTCAGCTTGAAGGCACTGACAGCATCGTGCTACCTCCTTTTTCGGTGTGCTGTAGCCTCCCGCGTCATTGACTCCACAGGAGCTCTACGAACGACTTGCGCTTCACGCGCCAGTTTGCGGCTGCTTGGTCCGCAGCGAGGAACAGGGAGAAGACCTGTGATTGGCCAAAAACATCCTGCCACGGAGCTGATATAAAGTGATTCTGTGAAATTGGTGTAGGCGACCTTGTCTTGAAACACCTCCTGCGTCTTGAACACTTGGACTTGCATGCTTGCAAAGCGCGAGTTGACTGGAATCTGGAGCCATCGTGAGAGCGGTACTGGTACAGTTCGTTCAGCTGCCAGGCTCGTGTTTGGAACCGCTGATCAGCGGCTTTCTGCAGGCAGGGTCGTCGACATATCACTCCACCTTTCAGGGAAGCGGATGCGGCTACATTCGTGCGACCAATAGGTGTTCGAGCTTGAACTGATAGTGACAGAAAGATCCGAAAGCTTCTGAGGATCCAAGCTTTCGCCGAGATTTGCAGGCAGGGCTGTCGGGAAGATTTTCTACTGACAACCTCAGGAGTCAGCAGTGCCCCATTCGTCCACCATTTGCAGTGTGCCAGTAGGTGTTACTGTTCTTACCAGTATACAGCATAAAATCTGAAAGCAACATCATTGCTTCGTGAGTCTAGCCGGACCGTAGACCTTTGAAGACTTTAAGCTGCCACTTCGCTTTATCAATCTTCAGACTGTGCAACACGTTCCTCAAAACTCAATTGGGAATCGTTGCTTCCATCGCAGCGGTGCACGTTTCGTGATTCGTGCGCAATTCTGCTTCGTCTCGTGTTTCCGTTGGCAAACACCGTGCTCCCGCCGCGCTGGCGTTTCCGCCTCCCGAAGTCGTTCTCTCACCAGGTCTTTTGAGGTCTACACCTTCCTAATCAATTCAGACTATACAACAACTTGAGTCATAGTTGTCAAGTGTCTTCGAACATGCTTGCGAAGTGTGTTATCATGAGAATTTACAACATGCAGAAACGAGGCGGAAGGCAAGGATTCCCCAGTCTGCATTTTGCATGAAGAGACGAAGAAAAAGCACTCAAACGGACAGGTAAATAACGGGGCTGTGGAGAAAGTGACGGGGACCTTGTGTCCGTCGTCTGCATCCTTCTGGAGCGCAGGTGGGAAGAGAAAGGGCGGAGCCTGTCATTGCTTGATCCCTCCACTTTTCCCTCGCATCGCGAAGGCCTAACGAAAGTTTCAGTGCGGAAGTATACGGAGACCACTCATACAAACAACAGACGCTCCACACCTTTCCGGCAGGATCAACCAACGTGCGAAAGAGGAGAATAAGGAAGGAAGAAGCAGGTCCCAACGTCCAAGTTCTCTCAAACGGGAATAGAGAAATGAAAGCAAAGGCAGGCAGGAAAGGTAGATCCTTGCCCACTTCCACGCATTCTTGCAAACAGTAGAGAAAAGGCAGAGCTGCCGTTTGGCAGGCCTTCGTTGCTGCGCGAGCGCCAGAGTTCCTCCAAGTCTGCGAGGATGGGAGCCATCCTCATGCCGCTCGGAATGGAGATCTGATCCGGAATCGAAGGCATGCAGCTTCGGCTGCCGCAGGCTCGCAACAACTGTAAAACAAGCAGTAGGACCATTGTATCTCAATCCTATACATACCTCAGTGGCTTCGAACAGTACCTCGCTTCATGAGGTTTCGCACGTGCATTCTTTCACCTGTGCAAGTGACACGTCCGAACTGCAGGGACTTGGGCTCTCGAGAAGCAAAAGCTAGTGCGCTGCGCTAGTGTTTGCACGGCGTGTGCCCGCAGAGCTTTCGAGGATCCTGCCTCGTACATGGCAGCGGGGCAGCTGCGTCGGTGATTGCTGCCTCCTGCTCTTCCATGGCTTCCTCCGGTGCCTCTGGCGATCGTGGCCATGACATACCATCGTGGAATGGCGATCCTTCTGCTTTCGCGGCTTTCGAGACAGCCTGTCGGTGGTATGTCCTGACCCTCAAGGAGACAGAAAAGGGATCCGGCCGCCTGGGGCTGGGATGATTGGAATGGTGAGGCCGCGCGGTCCCCCTGAAGAAAGTGATGGGCCCGGACAAGATGGAGATGCCGACTTGCGACAGCCGTCGGGCCTTGCGACCAAAGGCGGCTGCACCGGCACGCCCATCGAGTTTAATGGCTCCCTTGATCAAGGACTACGACAACAGCACGATCAAGGACTACGACAACAGCGCGATCAAGGACTACGACAACAGCGCGATCAAGGGCTACGACAACAGCGCGATCAAGGGCTACGACAACAGTGCCATCAAGGAGCCGGGTGACAGTGTGATGCCCGACGGCCCGACGAGAGCAAGAATGTCATGGCGTTGCAGCGATCCACCTTGCCACTGGAGCGGCCAACTGGACGGAAGCTCGAAGAGATCAAGTCGCAGATGATGCGGATGTGCACCGTGCCGCTGGTCACTCGAGATCTGAGTCTCTTGCGAGCTTCTACAGAAAAGAGGAGCAGCTCAGTGGGCAGTGGATCTAGCTAGAGAGCTTCGTTGTGCTGATTGTGATGAGTCTCGTCGTATCACTCCTGCACCCCCGGCCTCAACCGAAGAACCCCCTATGTTGTGGGAGTACCTTGGCGTGGATGTTTTCGAGTACGAGTCTGAGAGAGGTGGTTCACGAATGAAAGCGAAGTTTCTTCTGATGCAAGATCGAGCCAGCCGGCTCTGCATGGTGAAACATGTGAGATCCTACTTGGCTACTGAAAGCTGGGAGCCCACGGCCTCCGACATTCGAGCTGCAGTGATCACGCGCTGGATGCAGGTGAACCCGGCTCCGACCTGGATTATCGCCGACAGTGCTCTGCACTTCTCCAGCACCGAGTTTTCAGACTTCTGTGCACGCTCAGGCGTCGGGCTTCTGCTAGCTCCAGGAGAAGCACACTGGCTCCGAGGCCACGAGGAACGGAAGGTTCAAACTTTGAAGAGCACCACTGCTCGCTTTGAGAAAGTGAGCCTGGGCTTGAATGCTGAAGAGCTCTTCTCATTGGCGGCTCATGGGGCTACCTCTTCGATCAACTCCAGTGGGTTCTGTCCATTCCAGTGGTCCCGGAGCTGGCAACGGGATGAGGTTGAATCTCTTCCTGAAGGGATCCGACCGACACGGGCTTTTGCCAGAACCTTGGCACACCGGGAGAAGGCGAAAGCTGCCTTAACCAAGGCGGACGCCGCTGAGCGCATGTCTCGCCTGAACAATGCAGTTCGACGAGCTGACCAATACTCGCCTCTCCTTGTTGCGTGAGAGGAGGACCTGGCCTCTGCAGAAGTTCATGTGGAACCCAAGAAGAGGACCTCCAGAGACAAATGGGAACTCGTGCGGATTCATGGTGACTTTGTTCACCTCTGACAAGGCGCAGGAGTGCCCTGTCAAAGACAAGGAGCTCACCGGCCGAAGAAGGACCTTTGTGCAGACCTCCGGGACCACCAAGAAGAAGGTCATCGAGGACGACTTTCGTTCCGATGCTAAACCCAATCGCGGTTTCCTGGAGCGATGGACTGGAGAGACGCACTTCGAGTTGAAGGCGGGGCAAGGCGGCGCAGCAACGGCTACTGGACCGGCTTCTGCAGCTGTGGTTCCTGCTCTACCTCAAGGACCAGCCTCTTCGAGCGAGGCTCCACCCCCTTCGGCGGTGGTGCCGGGAGCAACCAGTGGCGCGAGTGCCCCTGCCAGCTGACCTTGAGGAGGAAGCGGTGAAATCAACTGCTTACGATAGCAGCAGTGATAGCAGCTCAAGCTCATCATCTTCTGAAGAGGAACTTCTCCCTGATGATCCGGCCCGAGCGCGACGGAAGAGGAAGGCTCCTGAAGATCTTACCCGCGCCAAGGTGAAGGAGAACATGATGGCTGTTTCCTGTACCATCGCCTTTTCAGAAAAGGACGTGAAGAGATTGCTTCGGCGACCTGCGAAGTCTGCTATCTGGTTCAGAGAAATCAAAGGAAGTCACATGGAGCCACCTCACCTTGAATGAGAAGATCGAATTTGATGGAGCTCAGTCGGTCGAGCTCAGCAAAACGTGCTGACCTCAGCGGCGGAGAGAGCCCTCACCCAATCTGAGCTGCAGAATCTCGACTCGAGGCTGATGCGTATGAGATGGGTACTCCCCCGGAAGAACTCCGGGACCGCTAAGGCTCGCCTTGTGGTGCTTGGCTTCCAATCAGCCGAACTGGCCGCTACGCGTTGCTCGCAGCAGCTTCCAACCGAGGCTTCAAGCTTGAGTTGGGCGACGTGTCGAGCGCGTTCCTGCAGACTGTTGGAAGCCTGGAGGATGAGGAGCTCTTTGTGTGGGCGCCGTCGGAGCTGGTGGCGCTGTTCGGAGCCGAGAACGGTGAGGAGACGATCCTCAAACTCACGAAAGCATTTTCGGTTTAGTGCACGCACCTCGGAAGTGGCACGAGTCGGTTGTCGAGGCAATTCTCTCTGGCGGCTGGACGCAGACCAAGGCTGACCGGTGCCTCTTTTGCTTCTACGACGATGCCGCTCACGAGCTGATCGCTTTGGCCGGGATCCACGTTGATGACTTCCTCGCCTGCGGCGTGGAGGGCCACCAGAAGTACGAGGCTGCGAAGGAGGACCCCCAGGCCCGCTTTAAGTTCGGCAAGTGGTGCGAGAAAGACTTCGACTTTGCCGGATGCCACCTAAAGCAGACCAGCGACGGGATCTACGTCGACCAGGAGGACTACGTCAACAAGTGGCTGGAAGAAAAAACCCTCTGACGTCCAAGGAGGTGGCGAGTCTCCGGGCCCTGCTGGGCGCTCTTTCCTGGAAGGCGTCTCAGACGGGGCCGCACCACCAGGCAGAAGTGTCATGACTGCCATCCTCAGTGCCACAGGTGACTGTGAACACCTTGGTGGCGGCAAACAAATTGGTCAGGGAGATCCGGAAGGAATCTTCCCAGCCGTCCCAAGAAGTCGAGCACCATAGGGCACGTCGCGGGCTATGCTCCTTGCGAGATCTTGCAGGGGTCGGAGGAACATGTGGCACTGGTGTCCTGGCGGTCTACAAAAGCACTTCGTGAGAGTCTCAGAAGTAACGGATCAGAGGTCCAAGCGATCACGGTTGGCGAGGACGTCGTCTTCCTGCTTCGGGCCTTTTGGTACGAAATTCACGGTGGCCAGGTGCTGCGAGGAAGGCTGGAGCGGGATCTGTCAGAAGCCACTCGAGGTGGGCTGATGATGGATTCTCGCGGCGTGTTTGACGCCATGACCCGAAACCAGTCCTCCGTGCATGGCTTGCGATCGTCGAGAGCTGGCTATGAGCTGACGATAGCCGTGCAACAAGCAGTACGCTTGGGAACCGAGCTGCGATGGGTGAATGGCCTGGCTATGCTAGCCGATGGCCTGACTAAAGCTGGTGCCAAGAAGGATCTTCTGAGCTTCTTTGTGAACCGTCAACATTGGAGCATTGTTCATGATGAATCTTCGGCAAGAAACTTCACAAAGCTGCCTTGCAGAAGAAGCTCACTGACAACTCCGACCTTTTCTTAGGCTGCTTGAAGAGATTCGCGGAGTCGAAAAGTTTGCCATGGTACCTTGACGACAGGACCATGAGTGTTTCGCTTCATGAGGTTTCGCATGTGCATTCTTTTACCTGTGCAAGTGACACGTCCGAACTGCAGGGACTTGGGCTCTCGAGAAGCAAAAGCCAGTGCGCTGCGTTAGTGTTTGCAGGGCGTGTGCCCGCAGAGCTTTCGGGGATCCCGCCTCGTAAAGTACCGCAGGCAGCTGTGGTGGCGGAGATTGCACACACATACTTCAATTAACCAGCCTAATCCACTCGACTATGCATGCATCTACTGGTGTGACCTTAACAACCAAGTGTTCGAACCATCAAGCCAAGCGCAGCCAGTTGGCAGGGGGACGTGCAAGGATCCTGCGGCTACTGTATCGTCAAGTCTCAAGCAAACCAAGCCGAGCAGGCAGAACAGTGCCGATACCAACGCAGAATTTCGGACTAGCATAAGCTATGACCCTCCAGGATCGGGATTCGGACCCGCCACGCAAATGGGAGAAGCTTTGACCTCGCACCTCAGGCTTGGAAAGCCTATCACGACGAGTATCGTGGCATTTTCGAGAGTCAGATGCAGAAGCTTCGACAGAAGGTAAAGCAACAAACTCCGTGTCCGTGTGTGTGTGTGTGTGTGCGTGTGTGTGTGTGTTTTGCCGCTCGAGGGCGGGAGAGGCCCTTTCCAAAGCAAGACCCGGAACTCCACCCAGCGGCAAAGCGTCAGGAAAATCCTACGCTCGCTGGGGATGACTGACCAGGAGCTCACGGAGCTCTGCCGCTGGCTCCAAGAAGAGAACGAAGCTCCGCTCAAAGATGCGAAGCTTATGCGGTACAGTAGCAGGGATGCTTTTGCTGCCCTTGCCAGGGCCACGGCTTCCAGTACGACGATGGCTTGAACGCTTTCCTGCAAGCGGTGACAGTTTGCAGCCCGGCTTGGGATTCGTGTAGAGGGGCTCTCCACGCTCGATCAAACAAACCACGTGCAGGCGAGGCCTACGACAATTTCCTCACAGTGATGTTTGCTGAGGCACATGCTCGCGGCAAGAGTGATCCTGTGCATGTTGCTGCCAGGGCAGGGCCTCTTTTCATTCATCATGGGCATCGGGGAGGGGGCCAGATTGTACTTCTCCAAGCTTTCGGCAGTTTCCCTTCACTATCCGATTTCGGACGGGATGCAGGATGCAACACCGGTTTGGACTGCCCACAGGTTGGCCGTCAGGCGGGTGACGCCATTGACGTGACGGTGCCGGAGACGTCGGGACCAGGGCAGCCGCTGAGGGTGCCGCAGGGATTTTTCCACAAGCTTTCCGACACTTAGAGGCGAAATAGGAGAGATGTGAAGAGGTGGAAATACCGCTGCCTGTCAGATCTCGTACCTCGGCATCATGTATGACCTCACCGTTCCCGAGACCTGCGCTGCTGGCGAGTGCTTTGAAGTTTCCGCGACTTGGCTTGTTCCGGAGACTCCAGTGTCAACTTCAGGTGCAGCCTTCAAAACACTGGTGACTGTTTCATCCCATAGGAGGTCAGTGCCAGTCGCGTGAAAGGAAGGAATCGCCGAGACACAGTTGTTCCATGCGGTTCATTGATCCTGCAAGGTGACGAGACCTGCCAATCTGGCAACTCGTCAGAGCAAATACGATGCACAGATGACCCTGTAGTCACATTGGCCGCACAGCGCACTTATTCGCTAAGGATCTGGTGTCACTTTTCAATGTGCCAGATTCCTTCTATGGCCTGGATTGACCAAAGATTCACTCCTGCTCGCAGAAAAGAGCTTGGGAGGCTTCACAGGAAGCGGGCAAGGGATTCGGAAGCGAAGCCGAAATCGACCAAGCGACGCCAAGGTCAACCGTGCATCGGGTTGTCACGACCAGCGCCGGACTCCAAGTTTCAGAGATTTGAAGCTGCCTTCTTCGTGACTGCTTTCCAAGGCCTCCGAGAGGTACTCTGTACCGTACTTCCTAGAGCCGAACATGGACACCATTATCCAGCCGGAAGCCCGCTGCAGTGCCACTGATTGCTTATCTTGATACACTGAGGGTCGTTTTAGGAAATTCGCTTTGCAGCTGGAGGCATGATCGTTCGAATGTCCACATCATTATGTCAGCATCTCGTTCATATTTAGGGCGTTGCGGCACGGGGAGGCACCGTGGCCAGAAGCGACCATCCTGGGCCTGCGTGCCATGTACTAGCATTGTAAGCCCAGGAGGCCAGCATCCTGAGCATCACCCGTTTTCACTCCGCCTTTTCTGCAAGCGCATTTTCGCGTTTGAGCAAGCCCGTCCAACATTTTGTGTGGAATCTCGTTTCGGGCAGAGGGCCGGACCTCTTTCCATTTCATGACAAGAGCGGGAAGGCCGGAAATGCTAAATCTCGCCGGTCGTAAAACTGGCAGTCGTACTGTGTAGCATGCGATGCCAAAGCCCAGACATATGCAGAGATCCCAATTGTGGAGGGTCCCACGATCGTTTTAATTCTCGTCACAGCATAGGACTCGACCGATGCAGCCTAGCGGCTTGGTTTGACTCTTGCCCCGGAGTAGGGTGCAGAGCTTAGGCTCTTCCATAGTAGAAGCGAATTCCAGTGCCGGGTTTGAAACACAGTGTGTAGAACCAGACCAAGAGGAGATCCGTGTGGCATGCTCCCATCTCTGCATTCCTAGTAGCCCGAAAACGAGGTTCCTCAGAAGGTTACAGCATTTGGCTGCAAGTGCAGAGGTTTTGCTACAGCAACATGAGCATGGGGAAGAGAGCAGCAAGGGCTTCGACAACATGAGCGATCTTCGTGTCTTTGAGGTTTGGCGGTCTTTGCGATGGTCCTGGCACACAGACAAGTGGGGCCAGCACAGCCCTCAGCTTGCGAGTTTCGGATGGTTGCATTCAATGCACACTCAAAGGGTCGTTGATGTGCCCCAGTTGTCACTGCACTAGGCCAAGGCCATACGAGAGACCCATCCAGTTTCGTTTGCTGCCTTATCTTGGTTGCATTGCGTCGACAGCATCATCCTGCAGTTCAGATCGCGGGCCCAACAGTCGCCACATCATTTTTGGCCTCACCTGCTGAGTCTCCAATGCCAAACCCTGTGAGTCTAAGCTTGAAAAGCTGATCATCCCATGGCTTTCATTCTTCCCCGAGTTGGTTGGAAGCCTTCCCGGTCGTCGACAATCCAGGGCCCGAGCACAACCTGTGAAATCCCTACGCCAACGCAGGTTTCAGTTTCGGCTAAACTAAACTCACCGAGCCACGAAGCTTTACTGGATGGCGTAAGGTCTCCTCAAGGTCCATGCAATGCATTGCAATGCTTCCTGCGAGGCTCTTCCGAGGCACCTCCATCTTCCGGGCTGTCGCACCCCTAGGACAGGCAGTGGTGGCGGTGCTGGTGCTGGTGGAAGTAGAAGCAGCAGCAATCACTTGCAGACGTCGTCGTCGTGCTGGTGGCGGTGGTCGTGGTCGTAGCGAACCCCAGCAGTTGTAGTAGTGGTGGTAGCAGTGGTGGTAGGTAGAGGTAGCGGTAGCGGTAGCGGTGGGCGGTGGGTGGTGGGCGGTGGGCGGTGGGCGGTGGGCGGTGGCGGTGGCGGTGGCGGTGGCGGTGGCGGTGGCGGTGGCGGTGGCGGTGGCGGTGGCGGTGGCGGTGGTGGTGGTGGTGGTGGTGGTCGGTCGCAGAAGCAGTGGCAGTAGTAGTAGTAGTAGTAGTAGTAGTAGTAGTAGTAGTAGTAGTAGTAGTAGTAGTAGTAGAAGTAGTAGTAGTAGTAGTAGTAGTAGTAGTAGTAGTAGTAGTAGTCGTAATGGTAGTGGTAGTGCTAATGGTAATGGTAGTGTTAGTAGTAGCAGTAGGAGCAGCAGGAGTAGCAGGAGTAGCAGGACGAGTTTAGGAGAAGGAGAAAGTGAAGGAGAAGAAGCAGCAACGTAGAATCTGTAAGCTCTCAGGTTTTCGCCACCTCCAAGGGAAGCCGCAGCGCAGGTGCAGTCAAAGAGCGAAAGAGAAACTTGCAAGCCAGACTTGCCGAGATTCTCTTTCACCATCCCTGATCGCCAGGATACGGCAGAAGCAATCCTGGAGCGTTTCTATCGCGCAGCTTGGATCAGCGGGAATGGGAATGAAGGGAAGCGAGCAACAGATGAGCGATGGAAAATGATGGAAATCGGAGGAAAGATCATGAGAACGAAGCAGATGGAACAGGGTATTGAGGAGACGGATGCAGAGACGTGCCCTTGGGGTCAGGCTTTGTGCTGGGGGCTCTAGTGCCATGCCCCTGCAAGCAAGCAAGAAAGGGGACCGGCAGACGACCAAAAGGCAAAGAGAGGGAGGCAACAACATCCGAAGCGCAGTGTAGCTGTCTGGCGGTCGACCGGAAAATTCAGCACCCCACATGCTGCAGACATGAGTGGATGATCGTCCAACACCGGCTCGGACGGAGTGTCCCCGCCCCCACTGGAGGACGCGCACTGGAGGACGTGGAAGGCACTTGGCGTTCAAGCCCGACGGGGACCACCAATGACCAGAATACCACTAGAAAGACACGGACTGACAAGGCAGCCGGTAGTGGCCGAGGTAGCCGGTGCCTCGCTCGTTGTTGGCACTGCCAGCGAGGCTCAAGAAAAGCCGGGCGTTTGCAACTCAAAACTTCTCTCTAGCAGTCATGGCATGAGCGCCAGCTACGACAGCACGTCCGAGCCGTGGTGCTGAGCCAGAGGGAGAGAGCCAGATTTCTGGGCTGGCTGAGCAGGAAGAGGAGAGGGAGACAGATGGAGAGGGAAATGGCCCCTCAATCCTGAGTCACTGAGAGAAATTACAAAAATCGAATTGGATCTGTGCAACCCGGGCATCGATGCAAAGACAATAGCTCGCAAGAAGCTGGGTCTAACGTCTATTGCGGGTCGGGGCCGAAAAAAAGTATATACGTGACCCCAGGTACCTCCGCAGGTTAGATACCTGTCACTGGGGATGTGGGATCTTTCAATACCTCCTCGCGGGTTACCTGCCTGCGCGGGGTACTCCGGGAGGTACACTGCAAGAAGGAATCCTTTCGTGCGCGTTGGATACCCCGCTAAACCCAATCCCCCCCAACCCTGTCCTCGCGGGGAACGCACGTTAGGGTGCCTCCGCACGTTGGGGTACCTGCCCGAGAGGGATTCGGGATGTGAGGGGTACAACCTGCATTGCGGAAGTTGATGAAGTCACGCGAGGATTCAAGACCAAAGTCACCAATAGTAGGTACACTGCAAGGGTCCGCTGGTGCCGCGAAATTGGCCCACAAGCACCATGAATCAATGAAGACAGTAGGAAATTGCAGAGACGTTCTTGATACAATCAAGGCGTCCGGCCAGCTGAAGGCTCGCCCGCGTGGATCGACACCAAGCGGCATTTTAGACGGTAGATGCTTGAAGAGCACGGCAGCCGGAACTTTTCTGGGGGTTGGCTGATGATTAGAATTGACGCTAGCGCCTGTGCACTGCGTGCAGATCTGCTTGCTGCTTAAATGGCAAACGCCATGTAGCATTTGCTGCAGCATGAGCCTCATGCGCAGCTCTGGAGGGATAGGATGTTTCCTTGCAACCGTTAAATCTGGGAAGGGGAAGGTCGGATGCATGCACTGCAAGATCACCCATAGCGCGCGAAAGATGCTTGAAGCCTCCACGACGGTGGCGGTCTGAAAGATCAAGCAGGAACATGAAGGTGGAGAGGCGTGCCATGGTGATAGGCAGCTTCTTTATCCCCTGGCTCAGACCAGTTTGGCAAATCCACAGGTTCTTGGACACGACAAGGAGGCCTCTTCCGGATCCATGTGTGTGGCCCCAAACAGCCCGCCTTACACTGTGTTTTGTCGGATTTTCAGGGCTCTTAACCGGTCCTAGCCCTAGCCTTTCTTTTTAACTCAACTTCTGATTCTGCCACCCAGCTTCGTTGAAACGCGAGTTTGTTTGTTGCTCTTGCTGTGGATGTGTTTAGTTTTCGAACGTTTTAGGCCCACATCCTTTTACCGAACGAGTTCTAAGAGAGCAGACCACAAGCTGACATGGGAGATCGAGCTTCGATGCCCGAAGCAGGCTGTGTGTTGGACTAGGACCAGGCCTGTAGCTTCGCAACGGGTCTGCCCTGGCTTGGCTGGCCGAAGTGTACCTCAGTGAGGAAGATGACCCTGCTGCGAGCCAGGCAAAAGCAGCGACTCCCATGTCACTTCAGCAACACATGGAGATGCATCGAGAGCCGAAGCTCACAGTTTTGACTGAAAAATATTCGAGGTCTATCACTATCCGATAGAGAGCTTGCGAAGGGCCTACAAACACACGACATCAACAATCACCCAACAACTTACAGCCTTTGGGGACATATCATCAGCTGCATGTTTTAATGGACTTGACATGTCTGCGTTCAAGCTTTTGTACATCAGGAATGGTGCAGAGAAAACCAGGTGACCTGTCGTTTGTATATATGCCGATGTGAGAGATTCCTCCTGAACCTAACCTGACGAATTTCGATTGTCAAGAAGGCCAGTATTTGTAATCCTGAATCCTCCGAGAGAGCAGGATGGAATGGGTTTGGGAGGTCTGTGCAGAGGACGTTGACTTGGGAAGATGCTGCAAGTCATAAGCAGCCAGCGCAGGGTGGTTTCGAAGAGCACTCGAGTTCGATCCGAGCACTGCGCGGATTGTCGAGAAACCACTCATGGTCCCACGTCGCGTGCTCTGCAGAATCTATTGCAAGGGGCGATGCCAGAGAAGTGGAGGCCATTTTTCCACTTGTACTTTCGACCTCACAGCAGAGCCAGGCTCAAACTGTGCTTTTGATCTCTCAGCTGTCGTAGCATTCTGAGATCTTGCCCGTCCTCTCCTGACAGGGGAGGTGTACAGCCAGGGCAGGATAATGTGTTCCAGCTCTGACGAGAGCGCATTAGGCATTGATCTCTTTTGGTTTCCAGCTAGCGGGGTGTCGCCCTGGAATTTACCGCCCGTAAGGGCGTGCACGCAACGCAGGATCTCTGGGGCAACACTCTCGCACGGTCATAGCATTCTTGAGCCGCAGCAGGGAAACCCCCTGTGATACCTTGTGCGCCGGCTCATGCCACATTCGAATCCGTGGACAAAAGTATGCGATTGAATGCGAGCAACAGTCAGCTGTGTTTGTGCATCAACTAGTGACTAGTTCAAGGTTTGCCGGTGATTTCCAACGTCTACAGTCTGACTGACTTTGCCAAGGTACATGTAGCAGTCGAAACTAGACAGTGGCTAGTGCACGCCGACGTGAGGGAACCTTCAGATCTTCAGCTGCTACAATCTGGCCACCGCTGCTGAATGTTGGATGTCTGAGTACTTTAAGTTCGTTTCTTGATTGTTGTCTTTTGTTGGCAGGTACCTGGGCCTGAGCCAGTAGCACAGTTCTGAGTTGTGTGACGGATGTCCGATGGCATCCCCAGCTCTGGATGTGGTTGGATGATACTCGGTGTGTCTACGCACCCTGTGTGCGAACGGAGGATCAGAGCTCTTCAGATGACGAGGACCATTACATGACTTAAAGTAGGAGTGTGCGCACGTAGATGGGCTGGATTGCAAGGACCATCGTCATTCCAGCACGAATAAGCTTTTTCATCCTGATGCAACTGGTTCCGGAGTCTAGCTCTTGCGAGGCAGTTGCGGCTGCTAGCATGGTTATGGGATGCTTAGCTTTGTTGCAGGAGGTAGATGTCAGCAAAGTTCAGCCAGAAGGCTATGAGGACGGCGTGCCATCGCTGCAATTACTGCTGCGGCCGATTGGTATATGCAGCTGCTACAGCCTGCCAGTCCGGGTATGTCGAGGACGAAGGGGTTTCTTGTCCCCGGACTAATATCACCCACGCGAAGTTCGGAGTAATGGAGCGCATCTGTACAAGCATGTCGATATGCACTGCGCTTGTCCCAGACCACTTGATCACCGGTTGTGATTCGAGTAAGGTGCTGAAGGAATACATGAAGAATTGCAACAGCAAGGACGGCGGCACCAGAGTGGATTGCTCCAGGGCAATCAAGGTGTATGTCGATGTGAACCCACATGAGCTGAAGAAGGTGGATGACCAAAATGAAGAGTTGCTCGCTCCATGCTGACAGCGCAGGATTCGCCAGCATCCCGAATACCTCGAAACGATATGCTATTAGAGTAGAGAGAGACAGAGAGCAATCTTAGCTTTTCAATAGCCCGAACCTCCACGCCAAACTGCCTTTCCATCCGAGGTTCAATATGATCTTCGTGCTCAAATTAGCTTGGCTTGATCCTGACCTCAAAAACTTCGAGTCTGAGGTCACCTTGCGACAGACACTCTCGGCGGACGATCCCCATCTGAAGCGGAAGAAGATTTTGCTGAAGAGGAAATATGCGAATGGTGATATCGACTTTGTGGAGGTTGGGACAAAGCAGGCCCAGACACTCTCAAAGTTCGACTATGTCAACCTCAGAGATCCAGACTGGAGCCAGCATTTCTTTCCCGATTTCTCTTTCCTGAACATGCAGAATGACGCCTTGCAAACGCTTGAGAAAAGAACGCTTCTCTGGTGTGGTGAAGAAGGCGGATTCGTGTCATATTCCATGAAATACTATGCCACCTTTCAAGAAAGCCTCGAGTTGCACAGCTTCCCTTTGGACCGACAGCTGTGCAGGAGGGGGTCTCAGTACAGAGTTCAGATTGCTTAGACTCCCCTGCGAAACTGCAGTAGAGAGGGGTGCCAAACGTTTAGCACGGCCAGCAACTGAACTCGGGCTGGCTCAGCGATGTTAGTGGTTTCTGAAAGCTGCGCGATTCAAGAAAACAACGTAGCACAACAAGGCAGGCCGATTCAGAAATCAGATTCAGAAAACGCAGAGGACAGATTCAGAAAGCAAGGCTGCAGAGCCGCAATGGTATTTTCGAATTGCCACGAACATCACTTCGTTTCTTATGGCTTGCCAACCAATATCTTCTTTCGGGGTTTCGAGAGATCCCCACCCCTGATCTGTTTGGGTTTGCCATGGTTTGCCAACAACCATCTCCTTTTAGGTTTGACATTTGCCAACCAACTCCTTTTAGGGTTTAAGGTCTTGGCAGCAAATATGTTTGTTCAGGTGTTGGGGTTTGCCAACATCTTCTTTGGAGGCAATTTACGTTTTTGTGTGAGATTTGCCAACATCTTTTTGGGTTTCGGGTTTGCCAGCCACCACATTCAGGGCTCGCCTCCCGACATAAATGGGTCGATTTTCAGGCAAGCCACGCAACTTGAAGCTTCAAGGTTTACAAGACAAAGGTGTGTGGGTCTAGAGCTTGAAAGCTGCAGGCATCAGCTTAGTTTGCCTGAGGAACCAGGTCGGTTCTGGTTTCAGGGTCTCGGCTTTGTTGCTGCAACCAACTGCCCTTAATCCTGCCAACCAAGATCCTGTTTCAGCGTTTCGGATTCCAGCATCTCCTTTTGGGGTTTGGGGTTGAGCCAGTCGTGTTGGGACGTGTTTGGGCTGAAGGTTTAGAGCTTAAGGTTCGTAAGACGCAAGTGCAAGTGCGGTCAAAATGGAAGACTTTTCCAGGCTTTGCAGAGGTAGTTTGCCATAGTTTGCCCCGACCACCATCCTCCAATCCGGAGCATCATTTCGAATCATTTTTGTGATGATTATAACTGTGCGATCGAAGATGCACCCGTTCGTTGCTGTTTGAGTTGTTGCTTGTTTTTTCTGCATCGCTGCTGACGTTTTGCGGATGTTCGCTCGTGTTTTCCGAATGTCTCTCCCGTGATTTCCAAATGTTTTGTTCTTCCTCATTTCCGTGGTTTTCCGAATCGCCCTTGATTATATTCGAAATGGTTTTTAGATGTGTTTAGCATCCTTCGTTTTGTTGTGGCCCTTGGTGTAGGCCCTTGATTGAACCGTGGGACGGCAGAATGACGGAAGGGAACAGACTGAGTTAAAAGAAGAACTGAAGAAGAAGAGAACGGAAGGAGTTGTCAGCCAAGACATCCAACCCCATGCCCCGAGCACCTCGAAACGTGGGGCCAAAAGAAATCAGGCTCACATCTGAGGAGTTTCCTCTCCTCGCTCTCCTGCATGGATGTTGGGGGGGAGTATTAAGCATGTATGGACGTTGTCGGTTTCTGCAGGACTCGAAACCGCCCCTTGCACACATTCAGCCCTGACTCTGCTGTTGCTGTCGCTCACCTTCTGAGAGAAGCCATACCCAAACCTCAGACCCTGAACCCCGCGTCCCGAATCCCAAATCTGAAGCGGTCAGGCCTAACCCCCAAAGCCCAAAACGCAGTCCCTTGGCTCAATCCCTTGGCTGCAAACCCCAAGCGCCAAACTCCTTATCCACGGACCCCAGATCGCGTTGACCCTCAACCCTAAACTGCATACCCCGAACTCACAGCAACAGCAGCTGCAACAACACCAAGAGCAAGAGCCAGACCAAGAGCAAGAGCAACAGCAGCCCCAGCACCAGCACCCAGCATCACTGGCACCAGCACTACCACTAGCACCAGCACCAGCGCCACGAGCACTAGCTCGAGCACGAGCAACAGCACCAGCACCAACCACCAGCACCAGCACCAGTACCATCACCACCAACAGCAGCAACAGCAAGAGCAACAGCGACAGCAAGGAGGAAGCACAACCATCAGCGCTCAAGCAGAGGGTTGAGGACTGCTCAGGTGCGAGAGGCAACATGAACGTCGCGAAGGGAACGCGCACACGCAAACCGCACCGGTGATCTCCATCAGCTTTCGCGGAATTTCGCATGCTCAGAATACCGGAAACTTATTATCTTCCTTTCTTCAATTTCCTTTGGCGTTGTCCTTGTGATCGATTTGAGAAAGGGTTCTGCGCCTGTGCAACGCCTTAGATTCGGGCGAGTCTGATGTTGAATGCCGTTGTTTGTTGTAGAAGCGACTGAACGGGAAATTCTGGTTAGCATCCGTGGAAGGGAAACAAGTTTTGCCGTCTTGGGTTACCCAACATGGGGCCTTCGCAGTTGATAGCCCTCTGTCTGGGTGGTGGTTGGCTATGCAATGACAAGGTACAGAGAGCACTTGCTTCGCACATAGGCATTTGTGGGGTGAATACTCAGATGCCCAAATGGTTTCGCACATTTCCCCATTTCTGGACATGCCGAAAACATTGTTGTTTACAACATCTGGCCAAGCGGTACTCGCAGACGCTCCTACGACCCAAGTATTGCCCTGGCCAGGATCAAGATGACCGCTGAAAAGCTAGTGGATGAATTCCAGCAGCTTGACAAGCAAGTTGGCCGTATTGTCCTGCGGACTGGACTGCCTCGCATAAACCGGCCAAGGTTCGTCCCAGTCACGGGCGTGAAGAAGATAGCGCAGGTCTGCGATATGTGGGCCTGCGACAACAGCATTCAGCAGAAATGCACGGTTTACGTTCGACACTGCGACAGGTGGGGTGGCTGTTTTCCATGCACCCCAAAAAACAAGCTATTCAAGCGTCCCAGGTTACACGATGTCAGCTTAAGCATGACCCAGAAGCATCACAAACGATGCGCGCATTAGCAGGTCGAGGTTTCCATGCGTTGCTGCAGGTACTTCCCGTACGAAGCCCAGCGTTCGTGCGTCTCTGTCATCTTCCACCTTGAGCGGAAAGGCACCGGCATAAAGGTTCCCTTGCATCACAGCCATCCGGCCATGCATTGCCCACCGCACACAGAATTTTAAGCTGAGCTTGCAGTCTTCTCGACAGACCATTCGTAAAGTCAGCATGAACACGTGCAGCCAAACTAGCTAGACGTCGCACGAAAGTTGATTCCAGCCTGAGAGCCTTGAAGCCGGCACGATGTCATGTCCGGTTGTGATGCGAGATGAATCTCCTTGAAGGCGATTACTACTTCCACAGCGTGCTGTTTATGGTCTTCCTAGTCAACATCATCAGCCTTTGTACTTTTTCCATTCACCTTGAAGATGTCAGCGGCCGACTTGGGCATCTGAGCACCTGTTTTCTTGCTGTCCTGGCTTACCGATACGTCATCGACGACACCTTGCCCCGCAAGGAGTACCTAACTGCAGCTGATGGATACATTATCTTTGCATGCAGTTTTCAAGTGCTGATCTGTATTCAGACTGTGCTTCTTAGTTTTGCTGCAAGCCATTTCGTCTTGGAGCATCGGTTCATAGTTGACCGATGTGTTGGGCTGGTGCTGCTGATTATTTGGCTTGGCGTGAACTACTATCTACACTGGCTTTGGCGGTCTGCGACGAGACAGAGCTGGCATAGTGTGTACCAGGCCAACAGGGAACCGTACGGTCCCTTCAATCAATGCTCCCAGTGTGGACGCCAGTGGCTTATCAAGCAGTGCCAAGTTTCAAACCCGGAAATGCGGTGCCAGAACCATCCCGATTGTCCGGGATCGGGGAGCAGCATCACCACCAAGTACTACACTCCTGAGGAACGTCCGCCCCTTGTGAAGCCACAGCGGTTCCCTTCGCCGCCGGAAGATCTGAAGCAGGCCAAGAACCTACGGCCCACTGCGCCGGAGCTCATCAGGGAACCAATTTCCTCATCCCCCACCTCAGCCCGAATGCCTCTGCTTGTCGGGAGACCCAACTACATGTCGTCTGGTCTCGGATCTTGGCGATAGCTCCCAGGCGGACGAAGTATCAGAGGATACTGTGCAAGACCTTTCCCAAAGAATGGACAAGGCTAGCTCTGTGTCTGAGACGGTGTGTCACCGTGATTCCCCGACAGTTGCTAGGAACTCCAGCATTGCCTTAACACGAGGCTTTGCTTTGGAGATTCGAAAGGTGAGGGTCCATATTGTTTTGCAAGCCCTCCGCCACATGCCACTGGCTTCTCCATGCCGTGCAACATCTTTTGTTGAAGACATTTCGAAAGGATCATTGCAAAAGGCCGATCTGAACAGCTGCTGGCATACAGGATGAGCATGTCACTTCTTTACCTGGAGATGTTGATGATCAGCCCTCGATCGAAATCGCGGATGGCGGCCACAACTTCTTGCATGCTGCATGACACTTAGCCAATGTTGGCTTGTTGATGCTCGATGTCGGCTTAAAGTTAGGTTCGTTCCTCTGCTCATGACAGAGATGATGACTTTGCGAACACTCGTGGGTCGATACATGCGTCAGACCAGCAGTAGACCAGTCATGTGCGATTCGTTTTCTCTTTTCTTGTGAAAGTGGAAGTGGCACCTTTTCAGCATCGGTTGATACAATCTTTGCCTCCAGCTTCACCGCCCGAAAACACGTGCGGCGAAGTGACCAACTGCCGCGTTTGATGGGTTTTGCGGCACATGACGATGTGTCGTCCATGCAGCAAGGGCGTTAGATTTGACGTTCTGCTGTTTAGAGCTTGTTTTCTGCGTGTCCTGTTCGCTTATCTTTCGCATGTGCATGTCTGTGACCTGAAATGTCCTGCAGACATTCGCAGTTGGGCGCAGCGTACATTTGACACAGCCTTTGCAGTGGCTCATAGCATACTTGGTTCATTCAGGTCAGCAGGATACAAAGGACGTGCATGGTTACGACAGGCTGCATGTTACGGGCAACCATGGCGTTCTTGCCGTGGCGTCTTGTCGCGTCCCAATTTAAGCTAATCGTTTGCAGCAAGTCACCTGTGACGGATTCGTTGGCTGGGTGTATGAAAATCGCGATGCGGCTTTCAGCTGACGGTTGTCCTCGGGCGATAGTAGACAGTACTTGCATCTGCCAGGATGGCATCCTCAGTGCCTGTGGATTTCTCTTCCGGAGATCATTACGCAGTGTTGGGTGTGCCCCGCACAGCCAGCGAGGTACGCGCTCCAAGCTTTTGGAGAGGATTCAGCATTCTTGAATCTGTTGAGCCTTCCTGACCCCTTCATCAGATCGGTCGAGCACATCCACTTGCAAATAATCTACTTGGGAAGAGTGGCAGGAATCGATCGTGTTGAGACGGGCTGGCAGGCGGACATCGCCAAGGCCTACAGGAGTTTAGCTTTGCGCTATCATCCGGACAAGAACCGAGACAAAGTCAAGGATGCAGAGGCCTCCCGCATGTTTTCAGAGAAGATGGGCATCTGCACTCATCTGCACTGACCTCGAGCGCAGGTCGGGTTCAAGCGAATTTCCGAAGCCTATTCAGTCTTGAGAGATCCCCAGAAGCGTGCCGAGTGACCTCGATTCGATTCAGCATTGTCTGTGCCTGCCTGCGAATGTGCATCCCAAGTCTTTAGCAATGTCACTTTGACAGCAGGTACGATCGCACCGGCGGTACTCGCTCCTATGTTCCCTGGCTTCCCTGGCACTGGCGCAGCGGTGTTTTGGAAATTGTTGTCAGCACTTCTCACGCTTGGTATGGCCGAGGTCAGCTACGATGAGGCTGAGCAAATGTGGCGCCAATTTTCTGGACAAGATGGGGAAGAGGCCGCTTGCTAGTTCGTGTCTTCCTCACTGCTAGCATGTCACGCCGAAAAGGTAGCCTAGTACTCTAGCAAGGATTGTACCAGCTGATTGCAGGCACCCGAAGACGCCAGAGCAAACAATCCAGAGCTGCAGAGCAGGAGAAAGGCCGGCTTGCCTGGGTTGACCGGTAACTGCATGAGGAGTTGTTCGAGAATCGCAGGCGATGGCAATTGTGCTGGTCGTCGGTGTCTTTCTGTTGGCGCCGAACCTCCTCATCCAAGTGCTGCCGGGTTTGACTGCAGCGGTTGTAGGCGGGGCTACATTGCAAAACAATCAGGAGGCAGAGTGCAGCAGCACCAGCAGCGCCAGCAGCAGCAGCAGCAGCAGGAGCACCAGCAGCACCAGCACCAGCGCTGAGCACGAGCACCAGCACCAGCGCCAGCAGCCCAGTCCCAGCCCTAGCCCCAGCCCCAGCCCCGACAGCCCCACCCCAGCCGCAGCCCCAGCCCCGCCCGAGCTGCAGCCCCAGCAGAAGCACCAGCAGCAGCACCAGCAGCAGCAGCAGCACCACCACCACCACCACTACTCCTACTCCTCCTCCTCCTCCTCCTCCTACTACTACTACTACTACTACTACTACTACTACCACTACTACCACTACTGCTACCCTGCTACTTCCACGACGACGACGACGACTACTACTACTACTTTAGTACCGAGACTGCCACCAAAAACTACTAGAAGTCCAGCTGCTAACTGTTAGGTACTACATTCTTTAATATGACACAGTATTCTGTCGTATCTGTTATACTACATATTGTTTCATCTTGTTTTACATGATGTGCTCCTGCATTTTACAGCATTGTATTTTGCATTGTATTTTGCGCTGTATTATTTTGTCTGTGTCATTTTCTATCATTTTTATCTATTATCCGCTTCTGGTATACATATCTTATATAGAAAGACTCGTCCAAACAGTTACCCCGACTAATCATCATGGTCTCTGCAGGCATAGCTCTGTTGACCCGCAGAGAGAACGCATCCAAGTGGGCCTGGCGCAGCTCGCAGTTTTTCTGAGTACATTGCATGCCGCAAAGGCACGGAGCCTGAAGCCAAGGTGTGCTTTGGCTCTGTTGCTTGCCAGCTATGTCGCGCCTTGGGCTTTGCGTGTCGTGCTCTCAGTTTCGCCGAAAGCAGCCGAGTTAGCTTCGGCGTGAGATGTACGACTGATATTTCGCAAGTTGTGCTCAGATGCGGTCATCTTTTGAACCGATGAGAGGCTGTGCTGCAGACGTAGCTTCAGCCGCAGCTACAGCAATTGCAACCAGAGATATCTGGCGGCTTGCCTTGTCCACCCCCAGCACTTCTCATGCGACAGGCGCGCAGCTGCAAGGCCTTGGAGAGACGGAGCCACCAGCACCCCGAAATGAATTGTGGTGATGTTCTAGCAGGCGAGAAGTCTTGGAGGTATTGTGACATATGCTGGCTGGTACAGGATTGCATTATCTCAGCAGCTGTTGCTCTTCTGGCGAGCTGCCGCCGTCGGTTCGTCGCTGCTGTAGTGATGATAGTGGTACCGGTGGTACTTCTTGTGGTGGTGCCAAATTTTGGTGGTCCTAGTGCGCAGATTGTGATATCATCTCTTGCTGGGGTTCTTCTAGGTACCTGTCGGCACCCCAAACAGTGGCGAGGAGGTTATCCTGAGCGATGGGTAGAGCACCTAGCTCATCTGGAGGTCACTGTCACTGCTGTTGAGGTTGAAGCAGATGTTCAGTGATGAGGCAGTTTCTGCGTGTTGCAGACCCAGCGCATCGAAATGGCCCGGTCAGCGAGGGTTGGCAGCAGCGAATGCCCGAAGCTTGGAAGCCGACACGAGTGGAGTCTGATCAAGTTTGAGTCCCCGAGGTTGGCCGAGATGACCGACGCGGTCAAGAAAGGCCAGGAACAGGCACGGTGGTCCTCGGAACGGCATGCACCGTCGACCTTCGCGCGGAGTCAGCCCTTAGCAGCCGCTGAGCGGCATGTGATGCAGGTTTTGATGGTTTTCTCTCGCGAAGGATGCCCCTGGTGTCAGAGGACCTCCTGGGGGCCGAAGTCGGCAAAGTCGCCCATTTCCTTGCAAGATCTTGCAAGGCAGCTGCCAGTCCTCCGGGCCACAATTGCCAAGCGATCCGGCTTCGGAGGATCAGATGCGGCTGAGGCGGCTGAGGCTCCACGTGAAACGGTCACGGGTTCGCAGCCATAGGATGAAGAATATTTTGGCCAGTATGAAGCTCGCCTGGAGGCTCAGCCAGCCTTCCTTGCGCCTTCCGGCACAGCGGCTGTTGGAATGGTGGGCTCTGCAGATCTCTTCAGACTGGCTCATTTGGGCACTTGAGCTGCAGGCGCCGCCACCCGCAAAGGGTCTTGCTTCAGCGCCGCTGCGGGTTTTCATCTTTTACGCCCGGCCCGTAGCCGTAGCTTCAACGCCTGAATCTTCGATCAAAGGCGCTTGTCTTTGAGGCAGAAGAGTTTCCGTACGTCGCACAAACCTTCAAGGTGGAGGCCACACCTGCAAAAAGGAGGGTTTTCGTCAGTGACGCGCCGCAAATTCCTGAGAGGCCTTCCCAACTCATGTCGCCTGGGGACGCCCTGGTGTTCCGCAGCTCCGGCAAGTGTCGCAATTGAGAACCGGAATTGATGCTTCGGAAAGGCTAAGTGTGTGTGCGTGTGTGTGTGTGTGTGTGTGTGCATATGTCATACGTCTGTACTGTAGTGTGTCTCTACATGAGTGAATACATGAAGAAGTAAATAGTGTTCATAGTTATGCTGGCATATCTCCATATCTGAATGCATGTAAACACACTGACCTGTGCATCTATAGTGTAGACATGTCGCACACGCACACACGGAGGTAGAGTATACAAAGAAAAAGTTGTGTATGCATATAAACACACATGTACGCATGTAGGTATGCATGCATGCGTGCATGCATGCATGTTGGACCGTGAGTTTCTTTTCAGTGTTTGTGTCCGTTGCCAGGCCGCTTGCCGCACAGGGCTTTCTCGACGAGCAGAGTCTTGAGCAATTGAAGCATGGTCTGCAAGACAGCTCTTGTTGAGTCTTTCCCCTTGTTGCTTGCCTTGCTGGGGCATGTCAAGATGCTATGCATGAGACAGAGAAGTGCGGCCAAACTTCGTCTTTCTCTGGCAAGAGCCAAGTTGACTTTTCGCTACAAACTGTCTTCCTGTCCCTGCTCTTCTCCCACGTGCACGTTGCGGAGGGTTGTGATTCAGTGAAAGCCAGTCAGGGATGTCTCACATGTCAAATCGATTGCTTTCATCTTCAGCAGTGTAGCAGCTGTGGCGTTATGCGTTGGCTATTGGAACCCTGAAATCGGATCTGTGGATGCTCTGTGCTTAGTCTTCTTGAACCTTTTGGCTTTTTGGGACAACTGGCCTATTTGCATACATGAGCCATCATTTGTGTGATCAATGTCACAGTACCAGCTTGGCTGCGTCACTCTGCTGATTTTCAAGCTTTCTCGCCCTCGAACAAAGGTTGCAGGAAGTCGCCTTGGCTGAGGTGGAGGTGCCTACCAGCAAGACTGCTTGGTGACGATGTATTCAAGAGTTTCACTAATTCTGATCCTCTCGCCTGCGTGTGCTGCACAGGAGGAACAGAGCGGGTGATGACTGGAGTCCGGCTGTGAATACAGTTCTGTGTTAAAGTGTGCGTAGTGGAGCGGGTGCCTTGACATATCTGGACACCCGCTGCTGATCACTACTGCTTGTTAGGCTTTGCTGGCATGGCCTACTGACATGCCCAAAGGTGCTCTTCTTATCCAGGCATCAGTGTGCAGACTGCCCGTCGCTTGCACTCGCCAGATTTTAAGATCGGGACAAGCGTCAAGCAGAGAGCCTGGAGTGCCCGGCATATTGCCGGGATCATACTATACCCATCAGCTGCGCCATGAAAGATCAGACCCTGCAGAGACCTGTGATGCCCGTGTCAAGAGTTTGTGCTTTTCAGAGCCGTACACTGAAGCAACAGAACATGGAAGTTGAGCTTGTGGCAAGTGCTTGAACGACAAAGCAACGAAGGCCGCTTACGTCTCCTTGTGACAGACTTGCGTCGCATTCCAGATCGGCTTGCTGCAACATGTTCTGTTCAAGAACGTGCTGCATCGAACTGTAGAAGCCTGAGTGCTCACTTGGATGAGACCGAACGAGCAGCCAGCATTTCCACCCCCAACCGGGTCACGTGTCAAGGGGTGTGGTAATCAGCTCATCCTCCGCATACAAAGCCACTGATGGCACATACGAAAGCATGAAGTCTTGAAGCAGACACATAGAAGGACACGGCAAACAGAAGCATTTCCCCACGGGGGCTGCCCTTGGACATGTTTTGAAAGGCAGCGTGAGGCACCGGACGATGGCTGTGTATGCTTTGGCTCATGCAGATGCATGGAGATTGATGGGACTTAGGGTTCCTTTTTGGGGTGCTGTATCTACGGGGGCACTTAAAGGATCATGGGACTTAGCAACTCGAGTTATTACTAAGGTAACTATACTTATGATGCTTATGACCCCAATGAAGGTTGAGGAGCTTAGCATTCCCCCTGTGTGCTTTTGGATTGCGTCCTGTGCCATGCATCCTTTATTTATATTTCTTTCTGCATGTCAGCGGCAGCTGCAAAGGCCAGGTCTTTGCTCCTGCTGGCTGCAGTGGATGCGAGTCCTGAAATTTTGGGCTCCGCAAGAATCCAAAGTCTCAAGGGCGTACACGCCTTGAGCTGGGAATCCGGCTGGCGGCAATTTTCGGTTTGGCTTGTATCGGCCGTACCCTAAAACACCACCGCCTGCGTCCAAACAGCCATGTCCTCACGAATTTGTTGAAAGAGGAACTTGCGAGCCAAGCTTCTGTTGGTGCCCACGTCCTACACGCAGGGTTGAAACCCGATGCTCTGCACTCAACATCTTGCAATATTGGGGCAGGTCTCTCAGTACCGACTCCCAGTGCCTTGATCCAGGGGCAGGAGTGGTTCTTGGCGTATGTGCAGAAAGTGTCTGATGTTTAAGCTCA